AGACACATATTACAAACGAGAGAGACTGGAGAAGTCAGGGTCTAGTGAGAGGGAGGAATTGAAGGAAATCCGTATTAGTCGGGAAATGGTTTTGGGGAAATTGAAGGCAGTTAAATCCTCAGGGCCTGATAATCTACACCCTCGTGTATTTAGGGAAGTGGCCCTAGAAAAAATGGATGCACTGGTGGTCATCTTCCAAGATTCTACAGACTGTGGAAGAGCTCCTACAGGTTGGAAAGTACCTAATGTAACCATTCTATTTATAAAGGAAGGCAGAAGAAAAACTAAAAATGACAGACCTGTCAGCCTGATATCAGTAGTGGGGAAAATGCAAGGGTCCATTATTAAGGATTTAGTAGCTGAGCATTTGGAAAACAGTGGCAGGATGAGACAGAGTCAGCAATGATTTATGAAAGTGAGATCGTGCTTGACGAATCTACTGGGATTCTTTGAGGAAGTGACTTGTGGAGTTTATGGGGAGGAGCTGGTGAATATGGTTTACTTGGTCTTTCAGAAAGCTTTCGACAAAGTCCCACATAACATTCACATAAGAGATTAGCATGTAAAATTAAAGCACATGGGATTGGGGTAGTTTATTGAGACAGGTAAAAAATTGATTGACAGACCACGGAAACAAAGAGTAGGAAAAAGCATGTCTTTTTTCCGAATGACAGGCAGTGATTAATAGGTTACTGTTGAGTTCAGTGCAAAGACCTTAGATGTTCACAAAATATATTAATGATTTAGATGAAGGAACAAAAGGTAATTTCTCCAAATTTGCAGATGACACAGGCCTGGGCAGGAGGGTAAGCTACGAGGGGGGTGCAGATATGATTCAGTGTGATTTAGACAAGTTGAGTGAGCAGGTAAATCCATTGCAGATTCAGTATAATGTAGATAAATGTGAAGTTATCCACTGAGCTAGCAAAAATAGGAAGGCATATTATTATTTGAATGGTTATAATTTGAGGGATGGAAAGGTACAATGAGACCTGGATGTCCTCTTACTTCGGTCGCTGAAGGTAACTGTGCAATGTAGCAGGCACTCAAAAAGGCAAATGGTATGTTGGCTTTCATAGCAAGAGGATTTGAGTGCAGGAGCAGGGATGTCTTGTTACAGGTATACAAGGCCTTAGTGAGACCTGGAATGTTCTATTCAGTTTTGGTCTTCTTATCAGAGGAAGGATTTTTACCAGACTGATTCCTAGGATAGCAGGACCAACATTTGACCTACCAAGAATTTGAATCAGCTAGGATTGTACTTGCAAGAGTTTGGAAGAATGACAGGGATCTCATAGAAAGCTGTAAAATTCAAACAGGGTAGATGCAGGAAGGATGTTTCAATGATGGGGGAGTGCAGAACTAGGGGTCACAGTTTAAGGATACAGGTTAAACATTTAGGACTGAAATGAAGAGAAAATTCTTCAAGCAGAGAGTGGTGAACTTGTGGAATTCATTAGCACAGAAAGTAGTTCAGATGAAAACTTTGTATTGTTTCAAGGAGTTGGATGTAGCACTTGAAGCTCAAGAGATCAAAAGACATGGGAGAGAAACAGCAACAGGCTACTGAATTAGAATATCAGCCATGATCAATCCCCTAACGTTATCCACAATGTGGGACGAAGTATACAAAAAGAAAAGAAATGCTGAGTGCTTGAGATAAATGAATAGCAATAATCATGGGTGACATTAATCTCCACATAAAATGAAAGCAATTGATTGGCAGAAGTAATCTGGATGAGGAGTTCGTATTATGTTTTCAAAACAATTTCTTAGAGCAGCACATTTTATTACTGTCCAGGAGCAGGTTATAATAGACTTGGCATTATGTAATGTGGCAGGACAATGTGATCGAATTTTATGCCCAGTTTGAAGGAGAGAAGATATGGGCTAAGACTAGTATTTCAAACCTAAGTAGGGGCAAATTTGTGGGCATGAAATTTTAAAGGGATATTTCAGAATACTTCCTCTCATAAAGAAAAATTCTCAAGGGAGGACCCACCATCTGTGGTCAACTAAACAAGTTAAGGAAAACACCTAAATTAAGGTAGAAGCATATAACTACAAAGATGAGTGCCAGGTCACTTGATTGAACAGAATATAAAGCATGGCAGAGAATGACTAAATGGTTAATCAGAAGGAATCAATCAGAGTATATGAGGAAGCTAGATAGGAATGTAAGAATGGATAGCAAGAATTTCTACAGGTATTTGAAAAGGAAACAAATAAGTAAAAGTGAGTGTTGGTAGAAATGGCAGATGAAATGAGCAAAGATTTTGCTTCAGTCTTCACTATAGAGGATACAAAATCATTCCAGTAATAGCTGTAAATCAGGAAGAAATCAAGTGGATGTGAGAGAGGAACTGAGTGAAATTACAATCATGAGAGGAGTGGTACTAAGCAAACTGATGGAGCTGTGGACTGACATGTCTCCGGACATCATCCTGGGGTTTAAAGGAGGTTGACAGGGAGTAATTTTCCAAAATTCCTGACATACAGGAAAATTTCCATCAGACCAGAAAGTAGTAAATATAATTGTTCTATTCAAGAAAGGAGAGAGGCAGAATCCAAGAAAATATAGGCCAGTTAGCTTGATGTCTATCATCAGGGAGGTGTTAGAACTGACAGCTTGAGATAAAAGCTGTAGACTTTGAAAAATTCAGAGGTAATCAAGAAGAGTGAGCATGTTTTTGGGAAAGGCTTCGGTTATGTGTTAAACTGTCAACCTGCAGGCTCCACAAGCACCTGAAGAAAGAATTAAAGGAAACTGCATGAATGTTTCTTGGGGAGTAAAATTGATCGTGAAATTTATGCTGCCCACTTGAGAAAGAGTTCAGTATGAAATGGTGATTAGGCAATCAGGAATGCATAACTACATTACACAAATAACCCTCAAAGAAACCTCAGCTGAACTTCAGCTATGGACCATTGGATACACTGTTGTACATATCCCTTTGACTTATTATTAGGAATAACTTGTGTATTAGATAGTAATTGGACACAAACTATATCATATTGCTTAATGCTACATAGTTAAACTCTTGCAGTGAAAAATACCTGGGCTAAGATGCTTCTAATATAAATTGTCTCACCTTTCATGATGTAATAGTGCTGCCCAGAAAATCAATCCTCTCATTTAGAACGAACAACTGTGCATATTTTCGAATTCAATTTAAAGATGCAAATTCAGTATTCTGTGAAATGTGTTTCTGATCTTTAAAATGCTCACAATCACCAACCTGAACTATTTGTTTTCCAATGTGTAATAATTAAAACAAAAATAACTTGTTTGCTGTAGTAGTAAAAGCTGAAATGTTCCTGAGTGTCACTTAATATTTTCAACTTTACTATTAAAAGACAGGATTATAGCCACAAATAATCTTTCAAACTTCTAAGAGGATGTTTATCTTTTTATGGGCTCATCACACTTGACAATTTGTTTTGCTGAATGTAGGGCTGTCAACCTACTAGCTCTTCGCTTGGTGACTAGAGGAGCTAGCAACCTGGAGGGGTGGATTTCTGGTGGATTTATGCCAATCTCAATTCAATGTTACCTGTGCTTCCTACATGGAAGAGGTGAAAGAAGAAGAAAAAATAGCTGCTGGCAGGATACTTTTGGACAATTGCTGGTGAGCACGGAGGGAATTTTGAGATTGTCTCATAGGGCATAGGGAAGGCTTTTCCTGTTCTTCCTTGCTCGAAAAGTGATATAGTTTGATTGAGTGCCCTCTTTGTCCTTTCCAGATACTGACCTGGATCTGCCTAGCAGCTTCTTCCTTTAATCATAGTATAAATGCCATTAGAGTCCCATTGACATATTGGGACTCTCATTACATGTGTTTAGAATCATAGAGTCATAGAGAAATACAGCACAGAAATAGACCCTTCAGTCCAACTTGTCCATGCTGACCAGATATCCTAAATAAATCTAGTCCAATTTGTCAGCATTTGGCCCATATACCTCTAAACACTTCCTATTCATATACTCATCCAGATGCTTTTTAAATGAAGTAATTGTACCAGCCTCCACCACTTCCTCTGGCAGCTCATTCCATACATGCTACCTCTGCATGACAATGTTGCCCATTAGGTCCCTTTTAAATCTTCCCCCTCTCACCTTAAACCTTATGCCCTGTAGTTTCGGACTGCCCCACTCTGGAGAAAAGACCTTGCCTATTTACCCTATCCATGTCCCTCATGATTTTATAAACATCTATAAGGTCAACCCTCAGCCTCTGACACTCCAGGGAAAATAGCCCTAGCCTATTCAGCCTCTCCCTATAGCTCAAACCCTCCAGCCCTGGCAACATCCTTGTAAATCTTTTCTGAACCCTTTCATGTTTCACAACATCCTTCCTATAGCAGGGAAACCAGAATTGCACACAGTATTCCAATAGTGGCCTAATCATTAAAGGTGCTCTGATCTATTTTTTGTAGGTGCCTGACCAGTATACAGTTTAATATTGGAGATAATGGGGATGGATTACAATCCTAGATGGTAACAATCATATTTAACCATCTTCCCACCCAGTTTCTGCCAGACAGGGTAGGGTTAAAATTGGCCTCCTTGGCTTTAACGAATTAGTAAAACGTGACCAAAATAATCTAAGCTATATAATTTCCTTTAACTCCCTTTCACTATTGCTTTGTGTTAAATTTCTCGAGTGAAGGTACAACCAGGATGTCTTGTAGTGCAATGAGTACCATCCCTCCATCAAAGCCAAAAGCTTCAGATTCAAGTCCTGTCCCAGCATTTAACAAAAAAACCTGAAAGAACTGTGGATGCTGGAAATCAGAAACAAAACCAGGAATTGATGGAAAAGCTCAGCAGGTCTAGCAACATCAGTGCAGAGAAATCAGAGTTAAAATTTTGTGTCCAGTGACCCTTCCTCAAAACAATCACTGGACCCGAAACACTAGCTCTGATTTATCTCCCAAATGCTGACAGACCTGTTGAGCTTTTCCAGCAATTTCTGTGTTTACTTTTGTTTCTTTTCCAGGGCTTGATGGCCAAGATAAGTGTGTTCATGACAAAGCCAACACATTGAGCATCTACCTGAAAATCCTTGCAATACGCACCAATGGAAAGGGGTAAGAACAGAAGAATCTCAATGTCTGCAGAAGGCAATAGTCAACCACTGCAGTAATTTACTAAGTGTAACCATGGAGCAACGCAGAAGTCCATGGTTACCAAAGCCCTTTCAGGACTTGGTACGTAAAGAAAGAGATAGAAAGGTAAATCAAAGTGAGGAAAAAGCATTGAAGGAAGAAAACCACTAAAACTAGCTTTTGGATTTTTAAACCTTCAAACAAATTCATTTTAAATATCTTGCACATTGCAAGGTTAATGATTGGCAATGGTGTCCCAGCTCTCAATAATGAAGTTTGCATCTGAAAGCAATTACCTAACACAATAACATTTAGAAACAAAGCATGTGCTTTTTCTGTGTGACATAGCACACTGATTGAACCTTGGCTCACCCTGAGGAACAATGACAACCAACACAGCTTCGAATGTATTATCATCTTACACTTAATTCTAACGTTGTTGTTAAAAATAGGCTGTATACAGTTCAAAACCACTTAGACTTAAGCATTGAAATATATATGAAAATATGTTTGTGAAAAAGCTCGTGTATTTTTACCAATGTTTAGCAGTGCCTTTGGTTGATTGAGATATCTTTGCTGCCCCTTCAAAAAGAGTTCACTGTTAACCCATTTATCTAAAAAGCAAAAACAAAATATGGAGGATACTCACATATAAATATTCTCAGAGCAAAATAGCAAGGTCATTGCTTGAAAATATATTGATAAAACCTGAGCAAGGTAATTTTCCGAATGTTGTTCAAATATTGTAATTGTGTTTGGCAGTGATGTTGGTGAACAGGTGGAATGTGATTTTGTCCTCGTATAAACGTGATACATTTTAACATTTGAAGTCTCTGGAACACAGTTCTAACATTACAATGGCTGCATAATCAGGAGCAAACTGCAAAATACAACGTCAGTTGTTTGTTCTTATTTTTCAAAAATGCAATAGAATATACAAAAATAGAATAATAGGCTATGACAACTCCAGTTTATCTTGTTATTTCTGAGAAAGTTACAGCAAGTATCAGAGGCAGCTAGAAATAAACAGTTGGTGTTCTTTGTCCTCTGTATGGTATTGTTTCAATTTATTTTGAATCTATTGCGTAGAAAACCACTCAGTGGCAACTGAATTACAATACTTAAGGTAATAAATTCCATATGGGGTGTACAGTGAAATCCAGCGCTATGTGAAATTGTGCTTCTTTCGGGAGGGAAGATACCTCATTGTGTAAGCAAATTGACTGAATATCGAAAGATTATATTTCTACAACTTACCTGTTGCAAAGATAAGCACTTCAAATATGTCATCTCGGCTGAGCTTCATTGCTGGATATTTGTTTAATTTTTGGAGCAACCTCAACCCCATTCTTAGGGACGTGCTAGCTTACAAAGATATGAAAACAAAGGCAAAGTATTAAACATATGATCGGACAAGGGATATCAGGGTCGAAATTAGCTCCCTGTATCTGGTGGAATTGGGATTGTGGTAGTCCTAATTTTAAGGATACAATCTGTCTCTCTCCCATTGCAACCCCACCTGCGACATTTGGCTTGAGGTCTTTTCAAGCAAAACCAGTCTTCTGGCTGAAGCTGGCAGGAATGTTATTTATGCATGTAAATCAGAGCCGTGTGATGTCAATATGACCCAATTTTAATACCTGAGTGTAGAACTAACAACTATACTGGAACTCTCCAAAGCTACTGAATGGCAAGACATGAAACAGCAATCAGGATCAGAATTCGAAGTAGCACATATCTGCAATTACTCAGATCAGTACTGAGGAAGGGTCACTAGATTTGACTCTATTTTTCACTCCACAGATACTACCCAGACCTGCTAAGTTTTTCCAGCACTTTCTCTTTTTGTCTCAGATTATTGATGTCTGTGTGGAATTCAATGAGTTGAATTTCTCTATGAGCTATTCCATCAGAATTTGCTAACTTTTGCTATTCTTCTACTACTAAACTCTTGAGAAGCACATGGCTTGAGACAGGAGTCATCGGAACTTTCTATGGATGAAGAACAATACAAACAGCTAAACAAGCATTCTCAAGAATGCATTGGAGATGCTCAGGTCCTTGATAAGGGCTGCTTGCAGAACTCCTTGTAGGGTCTAATAGCCCAGCATCAATTACTTCCAATATTCTGAAGGTATGCATCAGTCAGTTATGCTTTTTCAGACATGTTGACACCAACCTTTGCAACCTATAACAACAACAACACTTGCAGCCTTGCTTCTGAGCTGGAAATGTGCCTTTGGGTGTTGAAGTGACAATGCCACTTATTCTGCTTTGCTGGGGAGTTTTCAAGCTGCAGCACTGACATAACAGTCATGATCAGCCCTGAGTTCATGTCTGCATCAAGCAGGAAATTGATACTGCCTTTGCCATGATTTGTGAATGATCACATTCCCTCTGGATGCCAACGGTTACTTGGAAAGGGCTGTTGACTTGCTGCCATAGCAGACTTGCCAAAGCTCAGGCTGAGTTTAACTGCAGACATGCAACATGGGGACACCTTCCAATCAGCCAAGTGTCCTCATAAATCATCCCATTAATGTTCAGCTGGTGAATGACCAGGTTTATGGCCAGTTGCCTGGCATTGTTGCAATGAAGACATATGCTGCCATGCCCTTTCTGAAGTGATTCAGCGAGCCAGCTGCAGCCAATGTGGGGGCTGGGCAGAAAGCTGTTAGAGATTTGGAGCTGGGCAAAATTACAGGACCTGGGGTGATGCAAAGGAATAATATTAGGAAGACATAATGCTTCCCTGTGCAGTCCCTGTCAGGTAATTGAAGTACTGATAGTATCCAAGCCATTGCTTAGATGTGCTAGGGACAGACAGAGGTGGGAGATAATGTGAATGTTGATTGCTATGGTCCCTATGGACACAAATAGTATGCAAGAACCAAACTTCCCGAATGTCTTCTACAGAAGAAATGATAGGACAAGATTTCACCTTTATGTAACTACTTTTATTGTAGTAACCAAACTAAAATCAACATAAACATGAATTAACAGTTTGGATATCATTGGCTGGGCCAGCATTTATTGCCCGTCCCTATGTGCCTTCAGAAGGTGGTGTGTGTTATGCTCTTGAACTGCTGCAAAGCATGTTTTGTAGGTAGACCCACAATGCCATCAGGGAGTGAATTCCAGGATTTTGACCTAATGCCATTGATGGAATGGTAATACTTTTCCAAGTCAAGATGGTGAGAAACTTGGAGGAGAATTTGCAGGACATGCTAGCAGCAGATTTCATCCCTATGACTTCATGCTTTGTGTCAATTTTAACAATGAATGATAAATGGCGCAATGTGTGGACAATGTTTATTGGCATAACAAGATGTGGTGAGTTCCCAGTCTCAGCTATAATGTATGGGAGGTGTTAAGTCACATTTTATCTTCCTACAGCTGGAGACTGGCCAAGAATGCTATCAGCAAGCTGAGGCAAGCTGCCTGTTCTGGCCTCATAACTGGTGGAAATTGAGAAATGACTTGTGAAAAAAAAAAGGGAAAGATATTGCATAGCTTTATAAAAGAGTAAGTGCCCTGGATGCCGGGTATAATTTTCCTCTTCACTAAATACCAGATTTGTGTTATTCATCAAGATATTCTTGGGAAAGATTTCAGCTTTCAAAATGGGATAATTTGAATTGTGATGTTGTCATAAAAGCACACTGTGGCTTAGGAACTGGACCAAGTAACACCCGTTTAACTAGATGCTATTTGGAGCACTTAAGAACAACAGTAATTTGCCTTTACATAGAAACTTACATAATAGGAACAGGAGCAGACCATTTAGCTCATTGATCCAGTACCACCATTCAAGCTTCCACTTTGTCATTTGGTGATTCAGAATGCAAGTATTGATGAAAATAGGCATATTTTATTGACACTTTTCATCTTGCACTCCTCATGTTTTCTTACAAATCCATCAACTGAAATCCTAGTTTCTTTCCAATTGAGTCACAGTTGGAAATATTGCAAAGTGACTTTCCCTAAATGAAAATTATTGACAGCTACAGAACTCCAACCTTAACTTGAGCCCATCTTTCCTCTGACATTGTCATCATTTGACAGCCTTAAACTTGTTGTTTATGAATTTCTTGAGAAACTAGTTTTTCCCGCATGAAGCATCCTGACCTTTGGATCTTTAAATACTATCCTAAACCAATGCCAAGAAAGGACATGGGACAACATCAACAGGGCACCAAGCTGTACATCAGTCAGCTCACATTTATTTATGGAATTTACTTGACTTCTTTTCAACTCCTTTACTTTGATTTAAAGCCAATTGACAACAGCTGGTGGGAATATAGTAAGCAAGCTTTCACCATCCTATGGGAATGGAAAAGAATAATCAGCAAATGGTATTTCGCTCAGCTCACACTTCATTACAACTTACATTCCCTAGGATCCTTGGGGTCCTTGCCAACAATATGTGGTCACTGTGCAAACACATAGTTCACTTTGTCACTGTGAAGAATATGTTCTTTAAAAACAGTGGTTCTTCCTTCTGCATCAAAAAAGCTGATTTGACATTGCAATATGGAAGGCGTAGATTTTGAAAAAAAAAATTGACCCTGATGAAGGAACCCAAAGCCTGTGTGGAAAATCCTGTCCACGTTTGTATGCTAATGATGTATGAACATACTAGTGATGGCTATGTATGATGGTACTCTGATTTCAGGGCTTAAGTTATGAGAAGAGATTATAAAAATTAGGCCTGTTTTCTCTAGAATTTAGAAGGTTAAGGGGTGATCTGACCAAAGTCTTCAAGATATTATCAGGACAAAACAGAGTGGATAACGATAAACTATTTCTATTGGTTGGGGATTCTAGAACAAGGGGACATAGTCTGAAAATTAGGGCCAGACTGTTCAGAGATGTTAGGAAGCACTTCTACACACAAAGGGTTATGGATGTTTGGAACTCTCTTCCACCAATGGTAGTGGATGCTGAATCAGTTGTTAATTTTATATCTGAAATAGATCCTTTTTTGTTAGCAAGGGTATTAAGAGATATAGGCCAAAGGGAAATATATGGAGTTTGACCTCAGATCAGCCATGATCTCATTGAATGGTGTAACAGGCTCGAAGGGGTGAATGGCCTACTCTGTTCCTATGTTACTATGACATCATCAGAGCAGGCCATTGAGAAGCGTGTGATGGAACAGGAGTATGACACCACCCTAGAACGCTGTATTCAGTAATCTATATATATATTCATACCAATAAAGAGTGTTACAGCATTGAAGAGAATGAAAGAGTCTTACTCCAGGATAAGGACGAACTGGGAAGGCTGGAGAGCAAAAGTGGTAATAATCTAGTAAGTAGCAAGCAGTCTCAAAGAGTGTAAGTGTAGGCAATAAACAACCAAGGAAACAAGAGATGATTTGTGTGTGCTCATAAAGCATAGAGAATAATCACATTGAAATAATCATGTTAATTAAGCTCTGGATGAAGAAACCCAGCATTGGTTGAAGAGAAAATAGCTAACCTGAGGATTGCAATGGCAGTTTGAGCTGAGTGATGGTGATGTGTCTGTCCCGGATCCTGAGAATGAGATTGAACTGAGAGCTGGCAATGAAATCTGCACAAAGGCTCCCCACATTCACATGGAGAACATACACACCCCAGACAGTCAACTAGTGCGCACATATATTTCTAACATAATATTTATTTCATTTTGGTGACTCATTGGCAGCTTTGCAGAATTTGTCACCTTACTACGAATTAAGCAGCTCACCAGGCCAAGTGAGCAGTGGGAGCAGATGAAGTATTGGGAAGACGGTGATTGGTAACTTTCTGCTGGCTCATT